TTTTTTTTTTTTTTTTTTTTTTTTTTTTTTTTCGGAATTGTAAGTCCTTATATACCTAATGAATTTTAAAGAGTAAAATTGGAAATTCTTTAGTCAAGAAAAGGTATGTTGACCAACACTGTATCTAACTCATAGCTTTTACAATTAGTTTAATTATATTCAAATGTGCAGTGACTAACAGTTTGCTCTATGGGGATAACTGAAGGGATCTGCCTGGACACACACACATTCCCCTACCTTCAAAGAACTTCTCGTTTGATAATCAACATAAACATAAATGAAGTGCTTAGGATAAATGAAGACTTATTTCCTCTTAAACATCACCTCTGAAGTCTAGTTTCAATCTGTACACTATACAAACATGAACTTTAATCTTTTGATTTTGACTTTCTGATTTTGACTACAACTTTTAACTCTAGGATAGAAATAAAATAATTCCTAATATTAGAATCCAAAGAGATTTTGTTCCATATTAATGCATATTATGTTATACTTAATGGTATAATCTTTCATTAAAATATTTACAGACTGTACTAGTACAGGACATGAAATTACTACTCCATTTACTAAAAGTCTCTTTGAAACATTTTAAGAGCTAATGTACATATGAGATTCTCTTCTTATAAGGGAATCAAGAGGTTGTTTTTAGATTTGCCTAAAAAGTTGAGAAAACATAATCCTAATTATTATAATAAAATAGTAAAGGAATAACTTAATTTGAAATATTTTTAAACATTCAACTGTTTTTAACTTTTAAAATATACTTAATTGCTCTAAGCCATTACTGTTTTATGCATATGCAGATGAAGCTGGTGCTAACTAGCTGCTTTCTTCCCACAAATCAATTCTTAATAAGTTTCTAATAAGCTTCAAATCTCTGATGACAGGGAAGTTCCTATTCTACCTGTAAAAACAGAGACAATCCTTAAAAAAAAATCTAATGCATTAGCAAATTATTTACTGACTTTCACATCTATTTTAATACTTACACATAGAAACTCTGCAGAGATAATGTCAAACTTATCTCTATACATGATAGTTTGGCTATAGCTTCTTACCCCAAAGAGTTCAGCTTTAAAAAAGGTAGAATAAAGTCAATTTCCTCACTGTTTTCTTCTCTTATCATAGGATCTAGAAGGACCTACAGTAGCAAGGAAAAATTAGTTTTACAATTTAAAGTTACCTTCTGCCTGTTTTTCTTGGGTCTGAGAAAAACTGAACTGTTTATTCTGTTATACCAGAGAGCATAGATAAGTTGTGCATGCACGATCATTATTTAAAATATTCTTGAAAATAATAGTTTACTCATACACAGAACAAATATTTATGGTTAATGAGCAGAAAGAATATCACCTCCTTAATACATCTGACAGATTTCATCTGCAAGTGATTCGCGTCATATTTACTGTTTTTACAATGTTGAATTTGTGTCTCCTTTGAATGGTATCTCTTCAATTATGTTTAAAAAGAAAACTACGTCTAGGTAAAAACCACTGAAATTTGAAGTTATTAGTGAATCTTCAATTCTGTAAGGAGAAGATCAAGCAGCCTCACTAAAATATACTCCAGGGGCTGGCTAAATAGCTCAGCGGATTAAAGTGCCTGCAAGCAGGTGCAGGGGCCTGGGGTGTGATCCCTGGGCCTGCAGTGTCAGCCCCACCCCCAGGGTGCGCCGAGAGGGCAATTGAGATTGGGCATGGTGGCGTGCGCCTGTGATCCCAGCATTTGGGAGGCTGTAAACAGGAGAATCATTACAAATCCAATCTAGTAGTGAGACCTTGAACACTCTAGAACCTTCCCTAAAATACAGGGGGAAAAATTAATAAATT